AAGGTACGGGCAGATTTATGGGCTTTTGTGTATATGGTTGAGTTTATTGCTACCAAGGAGGCTGCAAAATAATTAAAATGTATATTTTCTGAAGCTGTGAAAGAAAAGGGTACTGGAAACTTGAGATAATGAGCTTCCTTTCAGATTAGAACTTGGGCACAAAACCTAGATCTACCAATCAAATCTAGCATTGACCTTGAATTGGACAGTAAGGAGGTGAAGTAAGGACTGTATTGAAATGATTTGGGTGATTGTTGCCATTTTCTGTCTCCAAATGTGATATTGTGACAGTGTCTAGTATTTGGGGTGCAAACTGATGTTTACTGTCCAATGGTGGCTTGGGTGGTGATTCCCTAGCCCAGTTCTATCATGGCAGGAGTTACCCAGATGCTCCTACAGGCTGCTTTACATGTTGGCTCTGCTGTCAAGGTGCAGGTCCAGATAGTCTACATTTTCCATAAATCTCTTTCTGCTGAACCGACCTTAGCAAGTTTCCACTGGCTCTTTTCCTCCAACACTCCATGTACAAATCTGTTTCCACACCTTCCTCGTGTCCCCTCTTATTTTCCTTTGGAATGATACACTTTTAAATTTACTTTTTAATCAGGATATAACCCATTTAAAATCATTATGAGTGACTATAAGGATGGTTTATCCCTTAAGAGTGCTTGTCACTCAGCCTGATGGTCTGAGTTTGATCCACAGAACTTGCGTAGGAGTGGAAATATAAGTGACTCCCAGGAATGCCATCTGACTTCTACATATGAACTTTGTGGTGTGTTCTCCTCCCCCATAATAATAAAGTAGAAGAAATTGAAAAATCATTATGACAGATTCTCCTTTCTTGGAAACATTCAGTCACGGTGACTTGGGAGAAAGTTCGCTTGGTAAAGTGCTTGCCATGCAAGCATAGGGTCCTGAGTTCAATCCCCAGAATCAGAAAGAAAGAAAGAAAAGTACTCTAGCTGAATTGGTGAACTTCAGGATAATGAGATACTGTCTCATAAAACAAGGTGGATGTCATCTGAGGAATGACACCCAAGCTTGACTCTGACCTCCACACACATATTCACCCTTACACATGTGAGCACACACTGTGTGTGTGTGTGTGTGTGTGTGTGTGTGTGTGTGTGTGTATACGAGCCTGTGTGTGCGCATGTGGCAAATTCTTATACCCCATCACCTAACCTCAACACAGCACCATTTATTTATCATTGTCCATTTCCCCATTCCTTTGTGACTAGAAAAGGGAGGAAACAGTATAAGATATCTCACTTATGAGTAATTTGTGTATATCTCTGAGATAAGAAATTTAAAAAAATACAGTGATGGTGGGGGTGTGATTTAGTGGTAGGATGCTCGTCTATTATGAGGGGAGGCCCTGGGTTCCATCCCCAACAAAAACAAGGAAATCAACAACAAAAGCATATTGCCATTATCAGACCTAATAACATTATTCAATTTTGGCTGGTGAGTTTGTTGTAGTGAAGGTATATTTAGGGGAAATACCTCTTTTTCTCCATTTTCAAATAATTGAAGTGTAATTATATCTCAAAAAACTGATGGCCATTTTTTCTCTCCCCTATGTTTCATGGCATTTGTTTTTTTTTAAGACTGTAAAAACACTGGGACTGAAGAGATGTCTCAGTGGTTAAGAGCCCCAGAATTACCAAAATCAGAATTACTTTGGCAGAAAATTCCCAAGGAGGATTTACAGTGATGTTAGGGTCCCTTATCATTTTTTAAAGGAATTACTATGGCTAAAACATAACATCATAATGGGAAAAGTCACTGGTAAACTGTTAAAGATTCAGGAAATCACCTGGCATCCAGGCACGTGCAAACAACTTTAATTAAACGCTGTAAACTATTTAAAATAGTAGATGTGGAAATAGAACGGACTGTGTTGGGAAGAAGAAGGGCTTCACGGGGGAGTGGGAGGGAATAAGAGAGGGGAATGGGGGTTGGTCCTAATCAAAATACATTATATATACATATGAAATTCCTAAATAATAGATCAAAAATTACTTTAAAAGCTGAGATTTTATAATGGTGAGGACAGGGTGGCAGGTGGCATTGTAACAAGTAACCCTGTGAAGGTTTTCTGAACAGAAAGCAGAATGAGCCTAAAGAGAAGATGTAAGACGGGGGTATTTTAGCTGTATGTGTAGTCTGAAGACAACTCCAGCTCAGAGCTACACTTCAGAGATCTCTCTGGAAACTGTACTTCAATGTAGAAGAGTTTGGAAGTCTTGAATTTTCTCTCTCTCTTTTTTCTTTTTCTTTAAGCATGATCCTTTAGGTCTGGGCTTTCATTCACTGGCCTATGTTTCATTACCTTTTTTAGACTCCCAATGTAGCCAAGGGTGCAAGGTTGACCTTGAGCTTCTTTTTTATTTTATTTCTTCAAGACAGGGTTTCTCTTTGTAACAGCCCTAGCTGTCCTGGAACTAGCTCTGTAGACCAGGCTGGCCTCACAGAGATCCACCTGCCTCTGCCTCCTGAGTGCTGGGCTGAAAGGTGTGTGCTCAACCACCTCCCAGCTACCTTGAACTTATTTTCCTCAATCCACCTCTCTTAAGTGCTATGATTATAGGTGTGTGCCACCACATTGTTTTAAGCAGTGTTGAAGTCTGAACCCAAGACCGAATACATGATAGGCAAAGGCTCCACCAACTATACTATATCCCTGGCCTCATTGTAGCGCTAAACCTCAATTCTGATACAAGTCTGTGACAGCTCTCTCAGACCACAATTAGGCACAATATGCTTCTATCTATGTATACTAAGAAGGAGGTGCATAGCTTTTTTTTTTTTCAGGTTAAAAGATTCCCAGTGGGGGCTGGAAAGATGGCTCAGTGGATAAGAGCACTGGCGGCTCTTCCAGAGGACCAGGGTTCAATTCCCAGCACCCACATGGTAGTTCACTACTGTCTATAACTCCAGTTCCAGAAGACCAGACACCCTCACACAAACATACATACATATATACAAGCAAAACACCAACACACATAAAATAAAAATTATTTTTTTAAAAACGACTCCCAGTGGGCCATGAGATTCAGACAATGAAGAGGCCCAGTGTTTCTCAGTGTGGGACTCAATGACATTGGGCCAGAAAGCTTGCTGTCACGCACAATGTTTAGCATATGCGGTTCACACCCGATCAAATTCCTGGAATTGCTCCAAGCCCATCAGTTCCTCCTCCCTATTCTAGCACTGATAATGGAGGACCTGGATGAGATTAGAAGTCTAAATGCATGTTCCTTTCTTGATTTTCTTTCCCCTTCCATTATATCACTCCTGAAACCTAATTTCCAGTAGTTTATATATCAAAGAACATCTTGAAGGGTGATTCCAGATATCCTGTCATGTTATTGTTATTGTGAAGACCAAAAGAAGGTATTTGGGGAACTATATTAAGCTATGAAATTTTGGTAATTGCTACCTCAATGCAGTGTGCATTTTCCCCAAATCCTCAGTTCTCAACCACCCTCTCCAATTGGTAATCTTTCTGATAAGAAATTTTAAAAAGTGCTTCTTTGTGAGGCAAGAGATGGGAATGGGTAATTCCCAGGAGGTGCCCAACCACCCGTGTAGACTTCTTAGGACAATCATTTAATTTATTACTTCTGAAAGTGTAAACACAGGAAGAGATGCTAGTTTGAAAAGAATGTCTTAATCTGGGCAAAAGAAACAGCCAAAGTTAATGCTGTTCTTTGAGCAGCATTTTAATTAACGAGTTAATTAATTGATTAATTGTGTGGGTACCTGCATGTGGCTGTCAGTAGACAGCTTTCAGGAGTTAATAGTTACCTGCTTCCACGCAGGGGTCCCGGGGCATCAGTCTCAGGTTGCCATGTTTGTAGACAAGTACATTTATTTACGAGCCATCTTGCTTGCCCTGCAGTTTACCACATTGCCAGTCAATTTTTCTTAATTTGACCTTGCAACACCAACTCCAACAGGTTTCCTAATCTCTTCTTTTATAAATGAGGAAATTGAGGCTTCTGGGAGTCAAACTGATGTATCTAAGACTACACAGGATTTATTAGAAGAAATCAGGATTTCTACAATCTTAAACACCATTCTTAACACTGATGTCTCAAAGCACCTGTTTTATGTGAAATGAAGAACCCTAATGGAACTAATTAGAAGACAGGTCTACAAGTACAAATGTGTTAAAGTGCAGTCATTTAATACATTACCTAGCTCAGTGCCTTGAAGCTGCACGGGCTTGCAAAGTTAGGACAATCTCACTTGAACTCCCAGCCAGCTGAGAAATTGAAAGCAGACAGTGGCGAAGCTGTTTGGTAACTTGGTGCCTTTTAAAATGAACTGGATCCTCCAAGTGCTGCTTTGGATTAGAGGTAACTAATTGGATAAAAGGAAAGGAGCCTTTCAGCTGATGAAGAGTATTGTAAGAGCCCAGACTTGAGTGAGTTCCAGAAAAGGAACGCACAAGAACAACTTCTCCAATAATGTTCTCATTACAAAGGAGTAGTTTCCAACACTCAGTTTCAATTGAGGACAAGACGATATGTCGCTGCAGCCCGGAGAAGCTTAGGGGCAGCGGGGGGTGGGGGCGAATAGAAAGCCCTTTTATTTTAAAATGGGCTTTAACTCTGAAACTTTTCTAGTGCCAAACCCTGTAGTGTTTTATTTTTTAAATGAACCCTTGGCGTGCCCTCACAGATGTCTGAGCTGGGAGGGACAGTAGGAGACCAGGCTGAATCCGTTGTTATTAATATTAAACAGCCAGGTCTGTACCCTTGAAGCAAACGGGAGAGACGCGGAGAGGAGCTGCTGACATTGACAAGGAATCCAAACAGGACTTGCACTATCGGTACACACCACGTTGCCGCTCCCCGGCTCGGCCTTCTGGGAGTTGTAGTCTTGGAGGAAGCTGCTCTCCTATAGAGCTGGTAGGCTCTGCAGGAAGGAACTACAAATCCCAGGATGCATCGGGATCGGCCCCTCCCGCTCTGATGCCAGTGTAAACTCACCGCGCCGGGGCGGGCGGTCGGCTAGCGGGCTTAGCGGGGCACTGCGCAGGGCGCGTGGCTTGGGGGACTCAAGTGCCCCCCCCCCATCTTCGTCAGGTGCCGGGGTTCTGCTCCAAGTTCCAAGAAGTGGAAGGCGGGCAAGCGGGAGCCATGCAGTCAGAATCTGGGATTGTGGCGGATTTCGAAGTCGGGGAGGAGTTTCACGAAGAACCCAAAACCTATTACGAACTCAAAAGTCAACCTCTGAAGAGCAGGTGAGTGGTGACAGCTGGAGGGAGGCGCGGCTGGAGGCCCAGGGGCCCCGCGCTTGCTACCCTGGGACGGGCACAGCCAGTCTGAATAGCTGTGGGACAAGGACCCCGTGCCCTTGCCTTGGGGTACAGGGAGACTTGACCCCTGGCATCTGGGGTCCTGCTCTCAGAGACTTGCTCGCATCCTAGGGTGTCTGACAGACACTTCGAGGGCACCATGGCTCTCTTGGGATGGCTCATCCAGGCGCGGGGACCCTTGGCTGCACATGCCAGCTGCTGAGCTGAATGGGGGCTGGGGCTGTACCCTGCTGGCCGAGGTGGGGTAAGAGGAGCACCTGATACGGACCGTGACCTGGTGCTATACCCAGTGGCAGAGTTTTTTCTGAGGATCATAGCAGGCTGAGGGCTGGAGAGGGAGAGCTTGGAGTGGATGGAGATCCGATGCTCCAGGGAAGCAATAAACTGGCCTGGAGTATCTCCTTGTAGTTCAGCTTCTTTGGGAGAGACTGCTCCGGGTGGTACCTAGGTGAAGTTCACCGGGGCTTTTTCTGCCACCTGCCACCTGGGAGCATCTGTACCCCCCCACTCCCGGGGTGGGGGTGGGGGGCAGGCAGCGGGTGGGCGTGTCTCCCCAAGCTCTTAGGAATAGAGCTCCTGGCAAATGCAAAAAGAAGGGACAGAGGGAGACAAGGAGGGAAGGAGGGAGGGAGGACAGGAGGGAGGACCGGAGGGAGGGAGGAAGGAAAGAAGGAAGGAAAGAAAGAACGAAGAAAAGCTACTTCAGAGGCCTGTGGTGGTTGGGAATGATCTCTTTTTGGCTGCTACACAAGTTTAATTCCCCAGGCACTTCAAAAACTTTGGGACTTGAGTGAAGATGCCCTCTGGTCTGGTGCCTCCCACCTCTGTACACCTGCAACACCCTTATCCTTTGCATCATGGTCTATTGCTATTTGGCTGGCAGAATCGGTTATCTTCCCTTTTCACTCTCTTTGATCACTCTGGATCCCTAGCACTTCTTATTTGTGAGAATACAGAGAGGGGGATGGTCACTGAAATCTGTGATAGCCAAAGAAAGGCTTTATTTCCACCCCTTTCATTTGTGAGATGAGATAAGGCTGAGGTTGGAAGCATTATCACTTTGTCCATCAGTTGAGACTAGGGTCTAGGTGAGTTTCCCCTGGCAGAGGGGCAGAGAGAAAAGGAGGATGAGTCTTAACTCTGCTGGAAAGTGGAGCCAGGTTACTTTCCTTCAGGCCTGGGGCAGGACCTTGAATCCAGTTAGGCGAACAAACTCTGGGAAGAGCAGATGTCCCTGGCTGCCCTTGCTAAAGCAGGCTTTTTGCACATGCTTGTGGCAGAGTGGAAGGAAATGTGTTAGGCATTGAGATGCATTAACTTGGCCCTTCACTGGTGGCTCCTTTTATAATGGCTATTTTGTATGTGAACGTGGATTGTGTGTATTGGGTGCTCTGAGTGAGATTGTGTAAGGGGTATTGTTGGCTATGCTAGTTAGGGCTTTATCTGCATGTGGCTGAAGGGACCAGTGTTTTACTGAGCAGCCCCTGCTTTTGCTTCTATAAGCAAATGCTCACATGGCCAGAATGGATATATATATATCTGTGTGTGTGTGTGTGTGTGTGTGTGTGTGTGTGTGTGTGTGTGTGTGTGTGTGTGTTCCTGAAAGAAATGAATTAACTGGACTGTTTAGAACATTTATATGATGGGTAATACATTAAATGAGTTTGAGGGAGTGAGGAAAATATGCTTTGGAGAAAGCCAGTGAGTGCCCTGATACTTATGTGGAAGGATTTGGTTCTGTTCTTTGTCACAGTCAGGAGCTCATGTTCTTTGTAGCTAGCTAGCTAGTATGGGGAAAGAAAACTGTAGGTAAGTGGGCATAAAGAACTTCACATGTTGGTACCAGAAGCCAGGTAGGATGGAGGAGACATATGCTCTTTGAAATAAACCAGTTAAATAAAATCTGTGAGTAAGTATCTGGAGTGGGTGACATTTCCTTATACTGTTTATGACAGTTGTCCTAATGGTATTGTCATTTGCATATGTTTTGTAACCTTAAATGGGCTTCATGTGGTTCAGGGTCTTCTCCTTGTTTTTAATTTGGAGTCTTTACTGGGGCCCCCCTTAAGTCCTGGTTGGGAAAAAAGTTGTAATGAAAGTTGCAGACTCTTATAACAAGACCATTTATGTATTGTTTAGATCAGAGGTTCTCAACCTGTGGGTGTTGATGCCTTTGGGTTTGAATGACCCTCTCCAGGGGATGCATATCACAAAGCCTTCGTATCAGATAATTAAATTACAATTCATTATAATAGCAAAATTACAATTATGATGTAGCTACAAAAGTAATTTTATGTTGGGGGTCACCATGACATGATGCGCTGTATTAAAGGGTTTAATCATTTGAGAACCACTGGTCTAGAATGTTCCAAAATTCACCTATGTCTTGCCTATTTCTCTTCGGTGACACTGGCCAAGTCAGTGTCAGTCCTTGCCTGGGTTATTGAATCAATCTCTTAATTCTCTCAGCCTTGGCCACTTTTAGATTTTTAATTTAGCAGCCACAATAATCTTATTAAACTGATTTTCTTTTAGGGCTGAGAGCAGGAGTCAGCCAGTAAAGTGCTTGCCACAGGAATAAGAGTACCTGAGTTTTATTCCAAAAACCCACATGAAGATGCCAGGAATGGTGGTTGGCAGTTGTAATCCCAGCACTGGGGAGGTGGGGATGAGCTTGCTGCCAAGCCAGTCTGTCTGAATTGAAAAGCTACAGATGAAAGTGAGACTCTGTCTCAAAAAATAAGGTGAAGAGTGACTGAGGAAGGCACCTGAAGGTTGAGCTCTAGTCTTCGCATGCATATAAATATATTCACATAGACCATTCTCCACCCCCATACACAGTGTACTCATACATACATGTGAACATGTGTGCACACATATATGTACACCCAAACATAAAATTAAGTTAAAAATACCCACATGATTTTCAGTAAGAGATCAAATCTGTCTCCCTCTGGAGACCCTTAGCTGTCACTGTGGAAGAGAGCTGTGCTTAACCTTAAGCAGGTAGATTCCAGGGATGCGCTAACCTCTCTAAGGTATGCAAGACAGCTTTCAGCAAAGGATCACCTGGGCCCTGTGCTGAAACTCAAGTTGGACCATGCTGTTCTCTCTGGTCAAAGCCCTCCTCCGTAGTCCTTACTTTTCCTTATTCCTTCACATGGCACAAGGCAGCCCACGTAGTCAGGCTGCCTACCAGCTCTGACCTTAACCTCTTGCCACTTCTCATTCTAGGAAGAGCCCAGGCTCTTCTACCTCTGGACCTTTGTGAGTTGCACTTGCTTCTGCTTGGACCATCCTTTGCCTAGACAGCCACAGTACACACTACCCTACCAGCTCCTAACCTTTCCCTCACTGTCATTCTCATGTTCCCTGATTCTCATCACACTTTGGATAGTGTGGTCTTCTGTGGCCATTGTGTTCATAATTACTCTTCCTCCAAACTCTTAGCCTTCCTTTTCCGCTGTGTCTCTTTCACAGTGTTAATGTTAACTTACAATGCAAATTGACAATACTCTCTCTCTCTCTCTCTCTCTCTCTCTCTCTCTCTCTCTCTCTTTCTCTCTCTCACACACACACACACACACACACACACACACACACACACACACACACACACCAGACTTCAGGGCTCCAAGGTGGCAAGGATTTGTTTCCATGGCTTGTTAATTCTGGAGTCCCCAGAATCCAGAACAGTCACTCAGCCTCAGAGCTCTTGATATCTTGAGATAGATGATTCCTTACTGCAAAGGACTGTCCAATATACAGAATATACAGAATAATGTCTGGTAGTTGTTGAACACGTATGGTTTTCTCCTTTATTTAGTATGCCACAAAGGTGTCACATTTAATTTTTGTTTTTGTAATCACTGTTGTGTTCTTTTAAAAATAATCCCCAGCAGGCTTTCTTCAAGGGTGAATTTCCATATTCTTCACTGGGGTTCAACTATGCGGCTGAACTTGGATCCTGTTTACCTCATCTTGGTCTCACTGTCTGGTGAAATGTCACAGGAAGAGACACAGTAGAGCACAGGTTCTCATGGTAAATGGTGATTTCCTGGGAATGATGTCACCACAGTGGGTCACAGAAGAAACAATCACAGTGGACCCAGAGTTACACATTGGCAAGTCACACCAGGGAAATGTCTTTGAGCTCCTGGGGACAAGTGGGCAATGTCTGGAGGTCTTTTGGTCTGAAAAGCAGCACTGCAGAGCACAGTGGCATGGCCATGGCCTTCAGATGGGTTTACTCTGCAGAAAGCTACACCTCTGTGGCTGCTGATGCTCTTTCCTGTACACACCTAGGAACTGGCTGCATTCGGCCCAGTTTCTGCCTACAAATTTTAGTACTGCTTCAGAGGATATTAAATTTCCTGCAGGTTAGATATGGGAATGTAAGCCAGTGTTAGGCTAATCATGGCAAGATGGGATGATGCAGGGGTGCCGAGTGTGGATTCAAGGAGGTGTGTGCATATGCTTTTGGTGTGATGAGAAACATATACTGTTTTGTTTGTAACAAGCACACTGGCCTTCGCTCAGGTTTCTCCCCTCTCCCCAGTTTTCACGCTAAAAAATTATTATTTATTTTAGGGAATAATATTCCCTTTATTTTAGGGAATAATAATCCATGCTTGGCAAAACAAAACAATCAAGTCAAACTCAATTTCTCTTACCCTTCTCTCTCTCTCTCTCTCTCTCTCTCTCTCTCTCTCTCTCTGTCTCTGTCTCTCTGTCTCTCTCTCTCTCTCTCTCTCCTCCTCCTCCTCCTCCTCCTCCTCCTCCTCCTCCTCGCCTCCCACAGCTGGTTTGTTTGGTTTTGGATTTTTTCTTGTTTTTTGTTTTTGTTTTTTTCTGATCTGTCAGATCTGCAGGAGATAATTAGCATAAAGCCAGAATGCCTAGCTTTGTCATTGTATTTCTCCCTA